ACAACATCACTAAGGAGTAGGCTTATCCACGCTGCCTTGGAAAAAGTCAACTGCGTCATCCTTTGACCTGATCTTAAGGGGAGCTCCGCAATTGCCACAGCTGTTGAGAAAACAACGCCAGCTCCACCAAGTTAGCTATTTAATTACTTAAAAGACGCCTTAATCTATTAAGAGGCACTATAAATTGTAAGTAACGCTTATACTTGGGGGGCATTGAACATATCTGTTATCACTCTTATCTTTCTCTCATAGCCGGTACTTGCTCTCCCCTGATCTCCTTACACTCCTCGAAGTAATAAAACAACAGACTATCCTAACCATCATAGTGGAGTAGGTCATGTTAACCGAACTATTCTACATCTTTTTCTTGCTAGCATTACTCTCTTTCTACTTAATTACTGTATTAATCATTAATTACTCTACAGGTGGTGCAAAAAATCAATTTGTGCATCATCAGTTTCGCGTCGTTTGTGGAAAATGACAAAGTTCTCACCCAAGCACCTTTTCTTTTGTACCTATGGTGATCACTACCAAATCCATGAATCTGCCCGAAGACAATCTACCACGTGAGGAGGAGACTGCTCCTCCACCAAATAATTTTGTTCCAAACATACAACAGAGGCTCGAAACAATGCAATAACTTGTAATTCAGAATCAGCAAATCCTGCAGCTGATGCTCGCTGGACAACAAGGAGGTGCGCAGCCGGGAGGATAGCAAGCCAGAGGAGCTCCATGCCCTGGGCGCCAAGGAGCTCTCCACTTGGGCGCCCCCTAAGGAGCCTCTTCGGGCGCCCCTACAGAGGTGCCCGTCATCAGAACCATGAGGGAGCTCCACCTCTTCCTCCAGTTCCCTTTTCCCACAGTGGAGATCCTTGTTTTGAAGAGGATGAGGGCGAGAATCAAAGCGTCGAGCAAGGGAGCCATTTTCATGACAATTCCAAAGGAGCTTCCAATCACTAGGGTAAAAAAAAATCAAAGAAATACAAAATCAATTGGGCGATGTCTTCAATGCCATGACGCAAGGACCAGAAACTATGGACTATCTCATAAAACAAATTTACACACCCTTTGTGTCAGATGTAGCAAACTATCCCCTTCCCCAGAAATTCAAACTGTCATCGATAGAAACCTTTGACAGCACAAAAGACCCACTGGATCACCTCGAAATTTACAAATCCTTGATGTAGCTGCATAAAGTTCCCAGCAAAGTCATGTGTAGGGCTTTCGCAACTACCTTGTAGGGATCTGTCTGACAATGGTTCGCCAAGCTCATTCTAGTCTCCATTGGCTCCTTTGCCAAACTAAGCAGGTCCTTCGTGTCACACTTCATTGGAGGATGTCGTGACCAAAAGTCTGTCACCCATTTAATCAACATAAAGCAAGATCGAGACGAGAGTTTGAGGAGTTACTTCACTCGTTTTAACGAGGAGGTCCTCTAGATCGAGGAGCCCGACGATAAGGTCACCATGACTGCCTTATTGGGAGGCCTCTGCTCTTCGAGCTTCGTCTTCTCAATGATGAAGCCCCCACCAAAGAGCATGCTAGAGCTGTTGGATAAAACCCATAAATACATGAATGCTAAGAACATCACTAAGGCCAAGCGAGGTGAGTCCTGATGAAAGGGAAAAAAGAAAGGAAAGAGACAGAAAAGACAAGAAGGAAAGCGAAAACAAATGAGGCAAGACAGAAAGAGTGTCTGCCAAAGACCGACTTGATCCTGCCTCTCAGAAAGAGTGATCGATTTTCACTCTCCTCAACGCCGCTGTTGAGCACATCCTATTCTAGATCCAGGATGATCCCGCATTAAAGTGGCCCGGAAGAATGAAATCTCCCCCAAATCGTAGGAATCTGAACAAGTACTGTCGATTCCATCGTGATCACGGCTACGAGACCAACGACTGCTATGATCTCAAAAAATAACAGAAACAAAGGTCAAGGACTTCATTTGGAAGAAACTAGTCTGTCGCTTTGGTGTACCCCACACCATAGTCAGTGACAACGACAAGAAATTCGACAACAGACTTTTGCACTTGTTCTGCACTGACCTCCAAATAAAATAGTCTCATTCTAGCCCAACGCACCCGCAGACAAACAGACATGCAGAAGTCCCCGGGTGTATTATGGGCCTACCGAACAACGCCAAGGACCTTAACCAAAGAAACTCCTTTCTCACTCACCTTTGGGACTGAATCAATTATACCTATGGAGATTGGAATACATTCCCTAAGCGTCCAACATCACAACTCCATTACCAACGAGGAAGAACTCTGCATCAACCTTAACTTGGTAGAGGAGGAAAGAAAAATGNGGTACTTGCTCTCCCCTGATCTCCTTACACTCCTCGAAGTAATAAAACAACAGACTATCCTAACCATCATAGTGGAGTAGGTCATGTTAACCGAACTATTCTACATCTTTTTCTTGCTAGCATTACTCTCTTTCTACTTAATTACTGTATTAATCATTAATTACTCTACAGGTGGTGCAAAAAATCAATTTGTGCATCATCAGTTTCGCGTCGTTTGTGGAAAATGACAAAGTTCTCACCCAAGCACCTTTTCTTTTGTACCTATGGTGATCACTACCAAATCCATGAATCTGCCCGAAGACAATCTACCACGTGAGGAGGAGACTGCTCCTCCACCAAATAATTTTGTTCCAAACATACAACAGAGGCTCGAAACAATGCAATAACTTGTAATTCAGAATCAGCAAATCCTGCAGCTGATGCTCGCTGGACAACAAGGAGGTGCGCAGCCGGGAGGATAGCAAGCCAGAGGNACGCCTCATACGGCACAAAGCCTGAAAAGTCAATATCTGGGAAAGCAGTAGAAATCTTTTCCCAAAGCTCTTCATAGCCATCAATAAAGGCATCTATAAGGCCACTCTCTGAATCAGTCTCAGCCTTGGTGGTCTTCTCATGAGTCAATCACAGATCCACCTCAGCCTAAGAAACTCTCTCGCAAGCTGCCTTCAATTCTGTTTCCTCTCTCAAGTGAGCAGCCTCACCATCTACCTCGAGCTTAGTGGCCCTCTCACGGGTTGCCACAAGCTCTGCCTCAAACTTAGCATCCCTCTCGCAGGTCGCCACAAGCTCTGTTTCAGCCCTCGTGCAAGCAGCCTCTCTGAGCGTATCCCTCTCAAGGGTTACGACAAGCTCAACCTAAGAAGTTTTACCATCAACTTCAAGATTAGTAATCCTCCCTTGAGCAGTAAGAAGCTCCCTTTTTACAGCTTCATGAGCAAGCCTCTCCCCTCTCCCCGACAGTTGAGCTCATCTGGCTAAACTGGATAGTCCTCGAAAAAAAGGCAAATAGATGCAGCTGAAACCTAAGGAAGATAAAAGAATGTTAGTATCCAATAAAGGGACAAGAGCAAGGGATAAAGAAAACCCTTACTTGGGCTAGACCTTCTAGAACATTGTCGATGATGCCCTCAGTGCCCCGAGCACCAACCTGATTGATGTTTGCTAGAAACACAAATCTCCTAAGTCGCTCCCTAACGGTCTGCATATCACCCAGCATGGAGATAATCTGAGTGGCTGCCCCTATAAAAATCTTTGTAGGAGGAGTCGATGAATGGAGGGTAGGAGGTATGGCCGCCTGGAGAGTCTCTAGAGTGGCGGTCACCTCTGAAGAAGTCACTGACTGGGGAGATACCACAGGAGGCGTTATCTAAGAAGGGCTCACCAGAGCATCGCTCATCGTTGCCTCCTTAAGAGGAGGAGTACTCCTAGTTGAATAACGGGACTCCACCACTGTCCTATCCACTACAAGAGGGATAAAGTGTTACCTTGAAGAGAGACAAAGTAAAGAAAGAGAATTCGAGGGAATCAGCATACATTTTCTGTTTAAAGAGGAACCACCAGACCTCGAAGAGGGTGCCCCAACCCTAGCACTTCCAGCAGGAAAATCTCTTGCTCCACCCTTTCTAAGCATGAGGGTCCCAAATTCATTCACAAGATAAGCCTTCACAGCTTGTAATTTTCATTCTTGGTCCTTTGAGAGCACCGGGGAGCCTAAAAGAAATGTTATGAGTGCATGCTCCAAAAAGACAAAGGAAAAATAATAGGAGTGGGCATACCAATTCTCTTGGGAATGTCTCATCTTACTGGTACCAAAGCTTTATCAGCCTCTGAAGCCTACCCTCCTCCAACAAACATAACGTGGGCCTTCCAGCTATGGCAACTAAAACGCAGTTCGGTAATCAGTTTTCCTTTCCTTGGAGTGAAATAGCACCAACCGCGATTGAGAGTAGGAGTCTCACTTAGAGTGTAAACCGCATAAAACTCTTCAAGAAAAACATCCTCATGATGCACCTTTCTCTACAGTGCCAAGAATCCCAGCAAAACTCTCTAACCGTTGAGCGCCAACCGTCCTGGCGCAAGTGAAAAACAATAAAGAATGCAACTGATAGAATAAGGTATTAGGAACCTCAGTCCAACCTTAAGCACCTCCTTATAGATAGCAATGTCTCCAGAGGAGTTATCACAAACAGGCTCACCCATTTAAGCCCGATGACACAGTACTGTTGGGAGAATATTATAAGTGGAAACAACCTGCAGTATATCAGCATCAGTGTTGAGGGTATTAGAAATGGTACTTACTTCAGATCCGTCATCATCAAGAGTTAATTTTCCCTAGTGTTTTCTGTTGCGAGGGCGAGAAACATTGTCCGGGCCACTACCAGGAGAGGCTTGTGGGATCTGACTCTATGGGGTTCCACCTGAATGAACCAAATCATCCATTCAACTAAAATCATCACTGCCAGCATTTTCCAGCATACTCTGTTCTATAGCTACGTGCCCAACCTCCGCTGCTATGCCTGACTCGCCCATTGCCACCTGCTCGCTCACCCAGCTGCGCCTAGCGTCCACAGGCGCTACTTGTGCGCCTGCCTAGCCATGTCCAGTACCTGTCGATGCCTCCTTGACGCTCGTCAATCCTTGCCCAGCACTAGGGGCACTGATTCCACCATGGTCACTCCACGATCAGCCTCGCCTAATGACGCCTCCACCTCTTGGTTCTACACCTCATCTTCGGTGCTTGTCTGGGCCGCCTCGCTCTTAGCGCCCATCTGGGTTGCCTCGTGTCTGCCCAAGCTTGCCCTCTGCAACTGACATCCAAGCATGTTATCTTCGGTGTGCCCTCCCTTTCGCGGTCAACCTCGCTAGCACACAGCGCCCCGCCGTCGCTGCCCGTTGGCACCATGCCTTCGACGCTAGTCTCCTCCTCATCCTTGACGCCTGGTTGAATCCTCACCTCGCCTTCGGCACCATCTTGACTTGCTTGGATCCTCTCCACCCATGGTCTCGCTAACATTCACCTCTCTTGCATCAACATCAACAACTCCACCACACCTTGACTCCCCACCGACATCGAGGGCCCCTAACATCTCCTCTCTTTCACTCGACATCGATCTCTGGGCACTCAACTTAGGAACAAAGTCTCTGGCCTCACTCATCTTGCCTCTTATCTTGGTTCTTGAAGATACCCTCTCAAGTTGTGTGAAATTAAAAGAAAAGGAAAGAACCCCCAATTTATAGCCTAGGATTTTTAAAATCCTATAGGGAGATAAAATGGTGGGAGTTTACATAACAAGAGATATCCTACAGAGATGAGCAATATCAAGAAGTGAAAGAAGTCATCAGTTAAAAGGAGTCTCCCTCAGCCAAAGTCCAAATTCAGCTAAATGTTCTCTTTTCCAAGTTTTATTTAACTCGGAGCATTAGGGGACAAATAATAGGTCAAACCCAAGAGCTCAACTCAAGATATAAGCCCAACTTGAATAAAGGACCCAACTAGACGAACCCAGTGGGTCCAGCCCAAAAGAGGTCCACGCCCAGTCAAGCTCACTAGGGTTCAAGGAGCAATATCACCAAGGAGTAAGTTCATCCATGTCGCCTTGAAAAAGGTCAATTGTGTCGTCCTTTGACCTGATCTTAAGGGGAGCTCCGTAACTGCCTCAATCGTTGAGAGAACGACGCCAGCTCCACCAAGTTAGCTATTTAGTTACTGAAAAGGAGTACCAGTCTGTTAAAATGCACTATAAATTGTGAGCCCCACCAATACTTGGGGGGCATCGAGCACATCTGCTATCATTCTCATCTCTCTCTCATAGCCTGTATTTGCTCTTCCCTAATCTCCTTACACTCCTCGAAATAATAAANTTTTTCTGGGCCGCCTCGCTCTCGGCGCCCATCTAGGTTGCCTCGTGTCCGCCTAAGCTTGCCCCCTGCAACTGACGTCCAAGCATGTTATCTTCGGTGTGCCCTCCTTTTCGCGATCAGCCTCGCTAGCACACAGCGCCCCGCCGTCGCTGCCCGTTGGCACCATGCCTTCGACGCTAGTCTCCTCCTCACCCTTGACGCCTGGTTGAATCCTCACCTCGCCTTCAGCACCATCTTGACTTGCTTGGATCCTCTCCACCCATGGTCTCGCTAACATTCACCTCTCTTGCATCAACATCAGCAACTCCACCACACCTTGACTCCCCACCGACATCGAGGGCCCCTAACATCTCCTCTCTTTCACTTGACATCGATCTCTGGGCACTCAACTTAGGAACAAAGTCTCTGGCCTCACTCATCTTGCCTCTTATCTTGGTTCTTGAAGATACACTCTCAAGTTGTGTGAAATTAAAAGAAAAGGAAAGAACCCCCAATTTATAGCCTAGGATTTTTAAAATCCTATAGGGAGATAAAATGGTGGGAGTTTACATAACAAGAGATATCCTACAGAGATGAGCAATATCAAGAAGTGAAAGAAGTCATCAGTTAAAAGGAGTCTCCCTCAGCCAAAGTCCAAATTTAGCTAAATGTTCTCTTTTCCAAGTTTTATTTAACTCGGAGCATTAGGGGACAAATAATAGGTCAAACCCAAGAGCTCAACTCAAGATATAAGCCCAACTTGAATAAAGGACCCAACTAGACGAACCCAGTGGGTCCAGCCCAAAAGAGGTCCACGCCCAGTCAAGCTCACTAGGGTTCAAGGAGCAACATCACCAAGGAGTAAGTTCATCCACGCCGCCTTGAAAAAGGTCAATTGTGTCGTCCTTTGACTTGATCTTAAGGGGAGCTCCGTAACTGCCTCAGTCGTTGAGAGAACGACGCCAGCTCCACCAAGTTAGCTATTTAGTTACTGAAAAGGAGTATCAGTCTGTTAAAATGCACTATAAATTGTGAGCCCAACAATACTTGGGGGGCATCGAGCACATCTGCTATCACTCTCATAGCCTGTATTTGCTCTTCCCTAATCTCCTTACACTCCTCGAAATAATAAAACACCAAATCATCCTAACCTTTAATAATGGAGTAGGTCACATTGACTGAACTACTCTACATCTGTCTTGCTTACATTATTCTTTTTTTTACTTAATTGTTGCATTAATCGTTAATTATTCAACAGGTGGTACATAAAATCAATTTGTACATCATCAAGGGGTACGGTACAAAAGTTTTTTCTCGGATACAATAGTCAATTCCTAATAAATATATCCGGTCTGTATACAGTAAAGCTTACTGTAAAAGAAGGGTTCATCAGTATTGTACCCAAAATTTGGCGTATAACATTTTATAATTTAATTTAGAGACTAGATCCATTAAATAATGAGAATTCTAGTTGACCTGAATCGCAAATAAAGTTTATTATCGATCAAAACACAATTTTATATTAGCTCTCAAATTAAGTTTATATCATATTTCTCTATACATGTATATCATTCCATATGCAATCACCACAATGAAGACTATCAGATATTTTAGCTTCATGTCTAGCAGTGTAAATTCGACATACAATATAAAGACCAATATTGCACATAAAATTTTGGTTACCACAAGATCTGAAGATTATCGGATATTGGGCATTTTTGAGGCTGACTTAAACCCTCAGTTTTTGTTTTTTATTTTGGAGGAAAAGAAGTCTGATCTATTTAGACTCGGGCTTATTGCAGGGCTTTTGCATTAGTTTATTGGGCAAAAACAGATTTTATTTAGATACACATTAACAAATTTTAGAATTTTTTCTCCATAATTATTGGACTGTTTAGTTTGACAGTCTCATCTTTTATGGGATTTTTTTTATTATATTAATAATTTCCTATTTTAATAGATCAACATATTTGGATTTTAAACTTATATCATATGGATTATACATTAACAACTGGTGTAAATTTCTAACTTATGATTTTTTTTCTTCTACGTTAACGCTTGCTTTTCTTCGTCAACGAAAAATATTTTTTTTTTGTTGTGTAATGTCATTGTGACAACGTATAATATTATTGTTTTGTTTTCATATAAATGTTAAATTTATTTGTGCTAGGATATGTGCATTTGTGTAATGTCACAGTTTAATGTCACTATAAGAACGTATAATATTATTGTTCTATTTTCATATAAATATTAAATTTATTTGTGTGTCAATTCAATTTTTTTTTATCAATGATTTAATGTATTCCAGTATATCAACAATTTTTAACACGTACAATATTCAATGTACAATAAGTGTATTTGTATAATGTCATAGTGTAATGTCATTGTGACCAACGTATAATATTATTGTTTTATTTTTCAAAAGCTTGTGTGTTTGATTTTGTTGAAAACACAAGGATTTTAAGGTTGAATTTGTTTAAATTTCAAAAATCATGTTTTTTGCAAAAATTCAGTTTTTGAATTTCATGAAATTATAACATGTTTTCTAGCTATTTTCCAAAATTAATCCTTACGCTAATTTGTATTACTAAGTGGATATTNCCTGATTGTCTGCCCCAACTTGAAGCTCACCTGCAAAGCTGTCTCTTTGATCTCTCTCCATCCCAGCTAACCAACTTGCATATTTCTCTCTCTCACGCGAAGATTAAAGCCCTAAGGTTATATAGATATGAAGATGACCAGTAGGTCCAGTACTACTGTGGAGGGCTCCAAGAAAAAGTTATCAAGCAGAGGCCTTGGAAGGTTTCTCAAAGAACAAAGAGGAAGGCTGTACATTATGAGAAGATGTGTGGTCATGCTCCTCTGTTGGCATGACTGAAATGCACACTGCTGAAGAGTTTTTTTATTTTTTATTTTTCAACATCTTACAGTTTCTGAATCCTTTGACGGGTTTCTCTCCCGGGTTCCCCCCCCCCCCCCCCCTCTCTNCCCCCCCCCCCCTCTCTCTCTCTCTTATTATTCTTCTGCCAATTGTAAATAGCAGAGAGAAACGTTAGAGAGGAATGAAAAATGATGATGGCCTTGTAGTTATGAGTATGCCTCTTAAGCTTATGATGTGCAAGGATGACCTTCACGTTAGCATTTTGTTTTTGATATTAGCAAAGCAGCTTTGTTCTTAGTTTTTATTATTCTTGGCAAATATAGTTCATAAGAAGAATCGCTCCACATATTTCACTAAAAAAAAAAAAAGATTTTTGCTTCGACTCTTTTAAGCAGCCATTGAACTTTCTTTTGCCAATCACAATGAAGGAAATTCCATAACTTTGGCATTACTCCTTCACTGGTTATTAGTATTTGTAATAGTGTGTGTGTGTGTGATTGTGGGGATGAGAGAGAGCATTTTTTCCCACGACAAAGAACCAAACAAGGACCAAATTTTGTTTAGGACACCAAAACGTATCAAATATTTGAGAATTTATTTTTAAAATATTTCAAAATATTGATCAATATATATCGAAANTGTTTAGGACACCAAAACGTATCAAATATTTGAGAATTTATTTTTAAAATATTTCAAAATATTGATCATTATATATCGAAACGTCTTAGAATATCTCAAAATATTATGAAGAGCAATGTTATTAGAATTTAATTTAGTGATCTAATTTATTGACCTAATTTACTATGATTTTTAGATTGATTATGAGTTTCATCAAACATTAAAATTGATGTTAATCTAATGATTTCACTAAAATTATATGTTTATATCAATAAATTAAATCAAATTTTTAAATCCAAGTAAAATTAATCTAGTCTAAAACATGTCGATTGAATTACTTTCTGAAANTTTATATCAATAAATTAAATCAAATTTTTAAATCCAAGTAAAATTAATCTAGTCTAAAACATGTCGATTGAATTACTTTCTGAAAAGCTCTATTAGCTGTGTTCATGTACACTCCCAGAAATTTCTTGAAGGTAATTGTAGTGCCTCGTGGGTATGTACCCCCATGAGAGGACAGTCAAATGGCATTAATAGTAGAGTTTTGTCTTTCCTATTGGCTGTAACATGTAGTTGTAATTGTAATCTTTGTCTATCACACCCTCAATTTTTCTTTTAATTTTTTTGTGGACATACTGTATAATAGAAAACTATAGTTAATTATATCGAAAAACTAGTTAAAACTTACTGATATTAAAGCTATAAGGAATAATTGAGGTCTAAATTTTGAAATTGATACTAAAAAATTAATATCTATTTCAAAATTTTAATAATTAATATTTAATGATAAAAATTATACCACATCATTTAAAATTTAATAAATATAACATTTTTCATTAAAAAAAAAATCCTACTATATAAAACACCTCTATCTTTTCAAAAACAGAAAAATCTCATGATTTATCCTTAGCAAGTAGTAACGAGCTTATGTCGCTCAGATTTATAACTCTGAGTAGAACCAAAAGTAGAAGCGTGCTTATCTTATTCAGATTCGTAACTCTGAGTAGAACCAAATGCAAAGGCTGAAGTATGAAATCGGTCCTTCAATCCATACATCATTCAAATTAGGACTTGCGTTTCGTCGGAGACTTAAGACTCACATCAGAGACTTAAAAACAGTTCATCCAAGCAACTGAGGTTTTATCTTACCAAACAACCACACTATTGCACCTCGGACTTCGAATCTCTGACCTCCCATTAGAAAGCTAGAGGCTCTGACCAACTGAGCTACCCCAGTTGGTTAAAACACCTTTATCAATCAAACCTTTTCAACATAAGTGAGAAGGGGCAATTCCACATCGGATAGCCTTTGAATTGTGTGTGTGTATAAGGTCTTCTGTCACTTCCACTTTTTTAAGTGGAAGTTTTAGAGTGATTCTTTCTTTATTCAAAAAAAGTATGAAACTTGTGTGTGTGCGTCTGCTTGACGCGTCTGTTGTGGGCTCAGTTGCATCACTCTCAAGCCCAGCCAAAAATTGGTTCGGGTAGGCCTTCGGACTTTAGTGGTGATGGGTTGGGACTATCCCACATCGGATAGCTTTTTGGTTGTATGTGTGTGTATAAGGTCTTCTACATTTCTATTTTTTAAGTAGAAGTTTCATAATGATTTTTTTTTGTTAAAAAAAAAAAAACAGAAGTGAGAAAAATCTCTTGCGCGTGCAAGTCGTGTTTAAGAGATAAGTCAGGATCAAACACTGTCGTCTACTGTTTGTTGGGATCCAGAGGAAAATAGGTTTGGAATTTTTTTTATTAATTCAATTAATCTTTTTTTATCCAATTAAAAAAAATTCATATTAAGACTAAAGAATTCATAAAATATAAATTTCTCTTGACTTAATATAAAGATAATCGTCAAATTATAAATTTAGAATATCTGAATTTATAACTTAT